CAGCCAGAGTGCTCCTTGGAGGCCAGGATGGCTAAGCTTCATCTCTCCTACTTTGGACATATTATCCAGAGGAAACAATCGTTGGAGAAGGATGTCATGCTGGGTAGGGTGGAGGGTCAGAGAAAAAGAGGGAGACCTCTAACGAGATGGATCTGCCAGGTGGCATCATTGATGGACTCAAGTGTGGCAGCAGTAGTGAGGATGGCCCAGGATCAGACATTGTTTTGTTCTGCTGTGCATGGGGTTGCTATGAGTCGGTTCTGACTCGATGGCACCTGACAACAAAACAACAACATGGTTTGTCAGCCACCATGGTTTATTTGTGTTGCAAAGGTATGTACTATCTTCTTGATAACAATTTTTTAGCATTTCCTTATATCTGATGCAGCTGTTCATAAATTCTGCATTGAGGCACCATAACACTGTAGCAAATCCTCAGGATATTTTAAGTTTTCAAAGAAAGCAGTACAATTATCAGCATCTATCAGCTACTGTTTAAACAACTGTCTCTAGATGGTTCACATTTTCAACATTAGATCATACTACCTTCCTTTCAAAGACACTCTTTGTGAAGCTGGATTTTTGGTGTTTGCTGTGATATAAAGTGCATGGAAATGAGGACACGTGTGCAATCTGATTTTAAGGTTTGAAAGTTTATATTGTGCCCAGTAGATACATACTTGCTTATATAGTAAAAGTTGTATAGTGACAGTACATACTACCTGTGAACCTGTTAGGAAGTTGTGATTATTGAAGAATAAAATTATTTTTTTTTCCAATTTAGATGTGTATTATTTTTCAATTGGCTGGGAGATAGGAGACTGTTAGGATATAAATGCTTAACATAGTTATCTGGACTCAATAAAGGAACTGAGATATTTCTTTTGACATTGTAAACAGAGAAAGTTTAAAAATCTCTGTTCTAATCCATTTAATTATTTTATGAACAGAAAGCATGGAGTGGATCAATCTTAACTTTTTTGGAATTATTACAAAACAGTTGTTTGTTTGTTTGTTTTTTCTTAGATAGTGCTGCAAGAAGGGAATTCTCAAAAGAAATCAGATATTTCAGAGAAAACCAAGCGTTTGGTAAGCATCCTTCCATTTAACCAGCAGCTAAGGTTTGGCTATATTGCGTGAAGGAGGAGTATTTTAACTGTGGGTCAAGTATGGTCAAGTCTTTCCCTTTTTTATGCCTTCAAAATGGAAATAACTTTTACCCCTAACAAAATATAATAAATAATTATTCTTTTAAAATTATATAAACTATGAAATATATGAAGAAAGTAAAAGTCACTTGGAATTTCACCACACAATCTGATGTATATCAAAAGAGTTCATTTCTCTATGCAAATATATGAGAGGGCTTCCAAAAATTAATGGGAAATGGAATTAAAACATATTGGAAATGCTTCACGAATTTTTTGAAGCTTTCTTGTATACGTGTGGAATTTTATATAAATTATTTTACGATCTACATATTTTCAAACCTGCTTTTTTTTTTTTTCTCCTACAACAATATACTGCAGAGAGCCATTATGTCCATAAAGATCCTCATTATTTTAGTGGCATATGAGAAGATTTTTAAAAGTTCATGGAAAGTGATATTAAAAGTAATGGAAGCCCCCTTGTATATGTATGCACCATAATAGAGATCCTTAATAGAAAGCTTCTAATAACATTCACATTGCTTTTAACTTTTTCCTATTAAACTTAAACAAATATGTAGTGTTTATATATGTGTGTGCTACGAACACACCACATATACATATGCATTTGTGTACCTTACACCTCTTCCTCTTTGGATAAATTCCTAAATGTAACATTTCTGGGTTAAAATTTAGCATATTTCCAAACTAAATTCTCTGTAGATACTAATTTACATTTCTGTTGATATGAGGGAGTACCATTTCCCTGTCAAAACTGAGTATTTTTAGTTTTTTGTTTGTAGGTTTTGGGGGAGTGGTAGTTTGACACTCTTATAAGGAAAAAGTGAAAAAGACAAGGCTTTCTCCTCCCACAAAGATCGACAGCCTTGGAAACCCTATAGGGAGTCGCTTTGAATCGGAACTGACATGATAACACTTAGCAGTAGGGGGATAGATTCCTTCATTTAAATTTTGATTCATCTGTTTCCAGTGACTTTGACTATCTTATTTAATGGCTGTTGGTATTTCTTATTTTGCAAACTACCTATTTATGTACCTTGCTTTTTTAATTTTTAAGAAACTTCTTAAATTAGGAATATTAACTCTGTTTTTCTTTAGAATTCATAATTTTTTTCCTAGTCATAGATTTATGTGTTTATATAATAAAATGTATAGATAAGGCCTTTATGCTTTCTGTCTTTTATTCTGTATGTAGGAAAACCCGTCGTATAATTCAGATTATTATTTGTTTTAATCCCATAGTTTCTCTTTGTACTTTTTATGGCTTATATGTTTGTGTAATAGATTTCTTTTTAGAGCATTTTTGTGTTCACAGAAAAATTGTAAAGTTTCCATTCTTTCTCCTCTATCTACATAGTTTTCTCCTGCCAACATCTTGTCCTGTTTTGGATATCCTATGGATCTGTAGTAAAATCTTATTTTTTTTTACATATTTCTAGTTTCACTGGACAGCTAACCGCTAAGTAGTCAGTAGCTCAAGCTCACTGGCCACTCAGAAACCCAGTACAGGGTCGCTATGGGTTGGAACTGACTTGATGGCACTTAGCAACAACAGTAATAAGCCATTCATTGGAAACCCTATACAGGGTCACTATGAGTCAAATTCCCAAGTACTGACTTGACGGCACTTAACAATAATAACATTGTTATATGCAAAGATCCATGGTAGCACCGTGAGTTAAGCATTGAGCTACTAACCTCAAGGTTGGCAGTTCAAACCTACTAGCCACTCCATAAGAGAAATATGAGGCTGTCTGCTCCCATAAAAATGTACAGTTTCGGGAACTAAAGGAGCAGTACTTTTTTTTTTTTGCTGTTTTATTGTGAGTTATATGATAGTTTAAATGAGAGAACTTTAGTTTTACATTCATTCCACCGTATATCGTTTCATTGCCATGGTTCTAATCCCTTCCATGCATCATCAACCGACCAAAGGGTATACCCTATAAACCCGCCCCCTACACTGCCCCGCGCGCGCCACCCCCCCAGTCTTCAGGATCCAGTCCCTCTCCCTCTCTGGATCCAAAGTCCCCAGCCACTTCATCAC